ACACCTAGGAAGAAGAAAATAAAGGATCAGTCACAGAAACACGTGGTCCTTATCAGCACTGCACGTGGTTATAGGTGACAGGTGACAGGTGACGGAGGACGGGGACGCCTGGCGTCTAACAGAGGTAAACAGGCATATGTCCCACACCCTCCCCTATCCAGACGCAACAACTCCCTGTGGCCCCATAAGGGCGCACCGGAAGTTTATCGATACTTCAACATAAATTACTACTTACTCATAAATTACTGCGTACTGATAACATATAAATTCTGCTTTTTCATAAATTATCGCATACACATTAGTTACTGCTTGTGCTTGTACCTGAATTACTGCTTACACATAAATTACTGCTTACACATGAAATACTGCTTACACATGAAATACTGCTTACACATGAAATACTGCTTACATTAATATGACTACATTAATATGGTGCATTAATTATACATGCTACATTACACGTTAATTTGATACATAATTACACATTATTATGATACAAATACTGAAAAATACTGCTTACACATTAATATGATACACAATTGCATAATACATTGTACATATGGCAACATTCAGATCGCAGTTCACTCATATTGGGTTATTCAGTGCGGAGTATGAAACAAAATGTTAAAGAATATACTACATAGTTGAAATGCACCGTTGCGTTACACACATATACTGTTGCACTATACATAACTGCTACTTTACACATAAGTTACTGCCTGCTGATGACACATAAATTATTACTTATATAAGTTACTGCTTGCACTTAAAATTCTGGTTACACATTAATATGATACATTATTACATATAGCATTGTACATATGGCAACATTCGGATCACAGTTTACACGTATTTGGTTATTCAGTGCGGAGTATGAAACAGCATGCTGTTTCAGTCAGGGATTATATTACATAGCTGCATTGTGCATAGTTGCGTTATACCATTGCATTACATACATATTCTGTTGCATTGTACATAAATTACTACGTACTCATGAATTGCTGCCTACTGATGATACATAAGTTCCTGCTTACACATAAGTTACTGCTTACAGACTAGTATGATACATAAATACTCATAAATTACTCATTACACATAAGTTACTGTTTGCATATGAAATACTGCTTGCACATTATGTTAAATAGATACTCATTAATTACTGCTTACACATAAGCTGCTTGCACATAATTTGCTGCTTGCACAGAAGATACTACTTACATATTAATATGATACATGATTACATATACACATTACCTTACACATTAATATACTTACATATGCACATAAATATATGCATTATATTACACATTATTACTCCTAAATTACTGTTTACACATAAATTACTACTTACACTTGAATTAATGCTTGCACATAGAATGCTACTTACACTTTAAATGATACATAATTACATATACTCATTACATTACACATTAATATGATACATGATAACACATTAATATAATACAAATACTGCTTACACATTAATATGATACATTACTGCCTACGCATAAGTTACTGCTTGCCCCTTGTTACTGCTTATGCATAAATTACATGTATAAGATTACATACATATTCAGTTGCACTGTATGTAAATTACTACGTACACAGGAATTGCTGCCTACTGATGATGCATAAGTTCCTGCTTACGCATAAGTTACTGTTTACATATGAAATACTGCTTACACATTAGTATGACACATAAATACTCATAAATTACTTCTTACACATAAGTTACTGCTTACACATTAGTGTGATACGTAAATACTCATTAATTACTGCTTACACATTAGTATGATACAAAAATACTCATTAATTACTGCTTGCACGTAAGTTACGGCTCACATATATTCCTGCTTACACATGATTTGCTGCTTGTACAGACAATACTGCTTACATATTAATATGATACATAATTACATATACCCATTACCTTACACATTAATATACTTAAATATATGCATTACATTACATATTATTACTCATAAATTACTGCTTACACTTGGGTTACTGCTTGCACATAAAATACGACTTATACATAAATATGATACATAATTACATACACATTATATACATACATTATTACATACACATTATATACATACACATTATATATATACATACATTATTACATATACACATTACACATTAATATGATACATAATTAAGCACACACATTTGAAATACATGACAAATAAATATACATAGAGAAAACACAGTTCAACACAAAATATACAAAACATAACAGTACAATGATACAAAGTACACACAATACGACATTAAACAGCATAAAACATATATAAACATTACGTTAAACACACATATTGCATTAAACACATAAAACTACTTATAAGGCGCACAGTTATAGTGGCAGTTCAGTATAGTTTCAGGGAAAGTACTTTACAGTGGCAGTACTAGGCACATTGCGCAGAATGTACGCAATACCCACAAGTGAAACACTAGCGGTATACAGCATGCAGTATGTGTTGTTGCACAGTTTGTTAAGGCAGAATGCAGTCACTGAGACCATTATGAATAGCACTGTTTTATAATGGGAGGCAAAGGTCTTGGCCGTAGGCCTTAATGGTGTTAACGATTTTGCACACTGTGTTGATTGCCGCTTCATTTTTTTTTAAGGATAAACTTGTGGAAGGCAGGTATGTTCGTGGGTTCCGGGAAATGGTACTGTTCTGTGAGTGGGCACCGGAAGATATAGTGATCGGGTGTCCCCTCTTCCCCGCATACACAGCGATCCGTATTAGAAATAGTGCGTCTGTTGAAGTAGTCCGGGAAGGGACCGTGCCCAGTTACAAAGTTAGTAAGTGGAGCGTTTGCTATGAGTCTCTCCGTTGTCACCATCGGTAGAAAGCCATACACTCTTCTTCCTGTGTTTCCATGTTCCCATACTCTTTGCCACCACTGGACTGCTGCGCCTTTCAGCAGTCTTTTAAGATGGGAAGGTGGCGCCGGAACAGCGATGGGACGTGCGTTGATGTTTGAGGCTGCCTCTTTGGCGAGCACGCACGTCCGCTGCCTCATTACCTGCATTGCCTTCGTGAGCTTTCACCCACGTCATGTCCACGTGTACCTGTGGGTTATCTTTTAAGAGTTTTTGAAGGCGGATGATCAACGGGGAAACATGGTTGTGTTTGCTTAGGTCCAGCAAGGCAGACATACTATCCGTATAGAGATAAGCTTTTGAGATTTTTCGGCTTATTAGATATTCAACAGCAGCTGTAATTGCTATCACTTCTGCCTGAAAGACGCTATTGCTGTCACCTAGGTGGCCTTTCCAATGATGTAATTCTTGGCCTTGCCAACAGTGCAGGAAAGCACTGCCAACGCCTTCAGCATGTTTAGAACGATCAGTGTAAAGTGTATGGTTGCTGATGTGCTGTATTTCCTTCTTGGGCTGTTGCATGATGTGGGTGTGGACCCCCAGTCCTTTATGCGCTGGATGTGTGTGCAGCGGTGTCTTGGGGTGCTCATAAAGTGCTGGACTGTAGAGAGTACCTGCGAAGGAGGCGTCTTTCCTCAAGTGAAGGACTCTCGTATATGTCGCCTCTAGCTCACCTGGATGTGTAGAGGGACTATACCTGCTAGAGTAAGGGCGGAGCTCCTGGCTGTTGTGCAGTATGCCCTGCAGATGCTTATGTAAAAGGGCGTTGGAGTGATGTTAACTGCTTGATTTTCCTCGTTGTTATCGGTTGAGCCCAGATTGCAGCTGCGTACTTTTTCCACCACCGTGCTATAAAGCACTTTTTGAATGTGGGGATTTAGTCCCCAATTCCTTCCTTGAAATTTCCGTGTCATTCTGGCTATAGCGGAGGTTTTTGATCTCTGTTGCTGCAAATGTGGCACTCATGTTAAGCCAGAGTCCCAGACCACTCCTAGATACTTCTGTGTATCCGTGAATTTAATGTTGCGGCCAAGTAATCGGATACAGGGACGACGTACAGGCCTCGTGCCCGGTCTCGGGATGAGGAGTGCAGAAGACTTGATGATAGAAATCCTCAGCTTAAGGTCTTCGCATAGGCTTGCGAACTTGGCGCACGCTTCGCTGCCATTGGCTTCAATTTCGTCTCGTGTGCGACCTTTAACAAGGAGAGCCGCGTCATCAGCATATGCAATGATAGTTGTGTGATCAGGCCACGTCGCTTCGAGGATTTTGTTAAATGTCAGGTTCCAGAGCAAGGGCCCTGCACAGGACCCTTGTGGGCAGCCTCTGACTTGGGTCTTAGTAACAATGCCATTATTGCTTGCCATAAGTAATTGCCTATCTGTGAGATAACTCTCAAAGACTTGGTAGATGTTCTCCGGGCATTGCGCCTCTCTGAGGGCCTGCTTGATGGCGGGCCACCAAAGGGTGTCGAAAGTGCTCTGGAGGTCTATTGAGATGAATGCAGTCTGAAGATTCTGTGAGCGATTAAGCTGGACTTCATCGTATATTCATTGAAGGGCATGTGTGGTTGAGCAACCTGAACGGAAGCCATATTGCTTGGGACTGAGGAAGTTGTTTCTGTGAATATGATACTTCAGCCTGTTAACTATGATCTTTTCATAGATCTTACCCAACGCTGAAGGAGACAGATCGGACGAAAGAAGCAGGGACGAAAGGAGCAGGTTCTTATCTTTTTTGAGAAAAAGTACCACGTGTTCCTTCTTGAAAGCTTGTGGAAATACTCTGTGGTGCAGGAGTTTATTGAAGTAGAGGCGAAAGAAGGTGGGCCGTGCTCGGAAGGCGACTTTAAGATTGCATAATCAAGTCCGTCCGGACCCGGTGCCTTCTTCAGTGGTAGATGGCGGAAGATGTGAGTGATTTCCTGCATTGTAATGGGGACATCTTCTGGCGTTCTTGGGATCTCTGTGGCGTTTCTCAAAAGTCGCTGGGCCGTCGTGTTATCCTATTCTAAATCCGCTGGAAAGATTGCATCAAGCAGTGCTGTGGCCATGGACCCTGCTAAGTCAATTGTTTGTGGTAGATTCCCTGGCTGCACTGGCACTTATGCCGGCTGGAAGATTTTCTGCGTGGCCAGTTTATGCAGGATTCCGTAAGGATTGCTATTGCTGGTACAAAAATTGCGCCAGCTGTTGATTTTGGCTTCTAGAATTGCTTTTTTATAAGTAGCCCGTGCTTGTCGGAATGCAGTTAGCAATCTTTCTGTTTCTGTGCCGTCTACAGCCGTTCGGAGACGGCGACGTAAGGCTCTGCACCTTTGGCGCATTTGTCTCAGCTGCCTAGTCCACCACGTAATGCCTCGCAGTTTCTTGGCAGTCCTGATTGGTAGAATTCGCTCGCATGTGTCCTTGAGAGTGGTGAGAAGATTATCTGTGTAGATATTCATATCATACTGGTCATTATGCGTATTAAGCTCCATCTCTTCTCTTCTCAGAGTTTCGCTGAGAATGCGATGCAGATGCCTAATCTTGACACCCGGAAGCTTAAACCTTTTTAATATGCTAATGCTGGTGTCTACTTGAATGAGGAAATGGATGTACTTGTGATCGGAATTGCTTTCATCATCCATGACAGTCCAAGAGTAAATATTGTTGACAATGTCCGATGTTGAAAGGGTCAAGTCGGTCAAGTCGGTCCAGCCTTTATGATACGAGTTGTCAAATGTCGGCTGTGCACCGGGGCTGTTATGCAAATGCAGGTTATTGCTTGCCATGAAGTTTTCCATTTCGTGGCCCTTAGGAGTCGTGTCACGGTAGCCCCAGATGACGTTGTGGGCGTTGAAGTCGCCTCCAATGATGTGTGGTACCGTAGGACATTTCAGTCTAACGTGATTATATGCTGTAGTTGCGTCAGTGAGGTCATCACTGGGGGAGGAATAAACGGAACTTAGTATGAACTGTTGATTGTTAAAGATAACTAGTACGGAGACGAAATTTCGTTCCATTGAAACCAGGTAAGGTGTCCAGGTAGGGTTACAGCAGGCAATGGCTGCTCTGGGTGCCTGCTCTGCTGTGGATTTCCTTTGGAAGATCTTCCATGCCAGGGGAAAACTTGCCACCTGGCCTTCACGGCAGTATGGTTCCTGGATTAGAAGAAAGTCTAAATTATGATGTATTGCATGTTGTATGGCTTGGGTTGAGGCAGCTTCTGCTCTCTGCAAATTAATTTGAGCGCATCGTATGGGTGTCTGGTGCTGGGTGGTTACCACTTTTTGTTTCTGGTCGATCTTCAGTGGGTGGATTTTCCGTTTTCTGTGGCGTCCATGCTGGTGCGGAGGTACTTGGTCGTTGTGCGTTATTCGTAGATTGTGCTTCGTCGGATTCGCTCAACATACCGTGCATAGGTTGGGCATCGGATGTCGTATACTGGATGGTTGCAGGGCATTGTACTATGTGTTCGAAAATTTGTATCTGCGCAGTTGATACAGGTGGGCTGGCATGCGTGGCAGTCCTTGATGCTGTGGTTGCCCGAACAGAAGGCGCAGTAGATTTTATTCGTGCAGCCTTGTTGAGTATGACCGAACTCTTGACATCGGAAACATCTCTTGGTATTGAAGTGTTCCGCGATGCGGTGTATTTTTAATCAGAGTTGCACTGGCCGCCTACTTTTACTGAGCCAGGCTATCTGATCAAGCATAAAGGACAAGAAAAAAATTAGCGAAGTTAAAATAGGGAGCGAGGGGCAAATGCCCCTTACGCTCAAAATCCGAACTTCAACTAATGGAAAGCAACCACTGAACGTATTTTTATACCCTCTGGTAGTACCAAACGCGAGGAGGTAACGCCATCTATCGGCAAAAATAACTGAATTAAGATAGTAGAATTTTAAAGGCATTAGGAAGGACTGGATTTTACTTCAAATCATTAACTAAACCTGCTAAATCTTTGTGAATGTGAAAAGCCTCAAGAAAATCCAATTCACCTATGGAAGAAGCCTTTTTGGTTAATTTTTGCAGACCCAAAATCGAAATTATGGTTAAAAGTCCAACTATGATACGCTATTGAAGACTTGTTAATTTCGCCTTTTCTGACATAAGATTCATGTTCCTTGATACGAAACTTCAACGCTCTTTTTGTTTGGCCAATTTCTTTTTCTTTCTCCTGATGAGGAGGGACCTTTAGCTGCCCTCGAAATCGATTGAGTGTTTCATTATACCTACGCTTTAAATACAAGGTTGTTTTTACGATTTTGATTGTCACATTGGCGTGTTTCTCTTCTAGTCTACATTTCGATTATTTTCGACTTCGATCATGATTATTCATTTTGACTTTCGATTTTTTGTCGACTTTCGATTTCTATCATTTCACGAAATGTCTACGAATCCAATTTATATGTGTTCTTTCTTATTCCTTTTTAGAGCCAGTCTCTTCAGTTAATGAGGTGGTGATTTCTTCTACTACTGAGGAAACAGTAACTTCCCTTGAAATTTTCGTTACTGTTTTAAAGTTCCAGAAATTAGGTTTTCAGGTTTAGTAACCGCATGCTCAGTGTTTGTAATTTCAAATATCTAGCCATATAATCTTGAAGCAACATCCAGAATGTTGTACCTCCAAAATAACGAAATAAAGATATAATTTAGAAATCTAATCCATTATCTCCAAAGCTTTCAGATTTGGGGATCAACTTAATGCAGTTAAAATTATGTGACATATGCATATGTTTGTATCTATATTAACATGCTTAAAAAATCCTAGTGACTATACAGTACCACTTTGAACTCATTTTTCCGTTCATTTAAATAGCTGCTCTCTGCCTTTTTATCTTATCAAGGTCTGCAATTCCCTTATTTGTTACGCTATGTAAATCTTAATTATTGTTTCAATTTCGTTTTCCACATATAGAACATAGGTAAATAATTCCGTCAGTAAAGATGTAGTGTTGCTTTTTAATGGGCGTAAAACATGATTTAATCCATTTATATTCTCATCAGAGTATATACAAGCTATAAATTTTAATTTTCTTAGAAGTATTCACGATTTACTCTCTTTGAAATATTAAATTATGTCTTCAAATATTGTATCACCGGAACTTTGCTTTTCTGCTTTTTCATTTCTGCTTCTGGTCTGTTTCCGAGAACCTCATATCGAACACCACCGCCCATTACATCTGGTTTCCCTTCCAAACCTTCTTAAAAAGCAATAAAACTTTATATATTTTATTAGTGTGTGTGTGTGTGATTATGCCAAAGCCTTGAGGGCTATCTGCCTAAGGGGAGGGATGCCTTCGTGGAGGACTTTCTAAGGGAAACTGGCTCGTATACACGTTACACATGGGGAAAACAACGAAAACGCCCATGCAGCCAGCCCGTTCGCGGGATTCGAGCCTCGGACCGAACTACCAGTGTTCAGCGACTTTACCGCTCGGCCGCTGGTGGGCCCATTTTATTAGTGTGAATTTTGCTTTTAGTCATTTCCATAAAGTTTCATGGAAATGCGTTTGGTTATTCAAATGCACATCTCACGCTTAATTAATCAGATACAGTGATTAACATTTGTTTTCGGACACTTGCGCTTCAGTTTCTTTTTTTTTTTTTTTTTTTTGCAAATATCAGTTATGAAAATACAGTGACTAAGTAAACTAAGAAATGTTTTGTTTCCCTTTCAGGTATACTATTCATCAGCGTTTATTAAAATCAACTTATTTTTGAAAAATATGTTCAAATCATATTTTGTTAAAAATGGTTTATTCAAAAAGTTCTTAAGGTGAACTCAAGTAAACTCTTTGGATTCACGTAAACACTTTGGATTCACGTAAACACTTTTTATTACATTTTGCATTCACGTAAACACTTTGGATTACATTTTGGATTCATGTAAACACTTTGAATATTTCACAAATACACCAAACAAGCTCACTACACTTTGGATAAGCAACTGATATATATAAAAAATATGAAAATAACGAGACATCCATTACTTTGTTAAATATCCTTTATCAAAAATGACACTAATATTTTCGAGTAAAAATATTCCATTGTTCCATTCCTTCGTAAGAATTGCTTTTAATAGACATTTCGAAGAAATTTCATGTTTACGTATTCTTTCCTTCAAAACTAACTCCATATATATTTGATCGGATTTAGGTCTGAAACTTATGGAGGAATTTTGATAGTTTGAGAAGAATTGTATAATAATCTCAAGCGAACATTTAGGTTTGTATGTTCAGGATAGAATCTGAATGTATTTTGAATTCCAAATTTTCTTACAGAGGCTTTCAGTATCCATTAAGAACATGTATGTATTTGTATTGATCAATAATATTTTATATAAAAAGTAATTTTTCCATCCCAGACGCAGAAAACGTACCCTAACCATTAAGGCAGAAACGCCTGCATGCTCACTAGCAGACAATAGCTTTCTTGGATTCGATTCTTCATTTGGCTTTCGCCTCACTGCAGTTTTACCAACTGACACAAATATATTCAACTTTGACTATTCTGTGAAAATAGTATTGTTCTAATATGATGAAACATAGCTTACGATAGAGTTTGATACCCTGGTGTATTTCGTTGTTTTCTTGTTGAGTGTACGTTATTCATGTGCCCGAATGACTGTTCTAACAGTTTCAGAGATAACTTTTATTGTAAGCCGTTAAGTCTGGAGAAAGCTTTACAACAATAATATTTAGTTTTGATTGATTATTCGGAGGATAAATCTACGATTACAAGTGTGGACTATGGTCCATATGCCACTGCCGTTCAAATAGTTCCACGCATCTTTAAGTACATCAAAGTACGCTTTTCATCAATGATTTTTTAACATATTTTTAACAGGCTTATAATGACAAATTAGCCATCAATATAGCGATGAGGGCGCAGCATAATGTACTCTTAAAACGGATCACTTGTTTCAAGAGATGATTTTGATAAACGAGTAGCTTCAGATCTATTGATCTCAGCATCCTTGCCATTTTTTTTTTTTTTTTTTTTTTTTTTTTTTTTGTCTTCATTTGCCTTTAAACTTTGGAAATATCTTTACCCTCAATTAACAAATTCTGTCTTCCATCATATCAAATCTGTATGCCTGAGGATTTTTTTTATCAGCTCTAAGTGATTACGTACTTAAGATATACTTGCAGACAAAAAAATACAGCGTTCATAATGCAAGAGGTTTTCCTAACCCATCTAGCAATTAGCGATCAGAAGGAAGAAATTACTTTCAACTTTAACAACTGATGTCATGTAATTTACAACAAGGCAGACAACGACACGTGCAGGATCCAGAGGGTTACGTTTTAGAGTTTATGTATGCAGCCTGAAAAAGGCTTTGGGGATTTTGCAAAATTTCTGGTTAGTGAAAATGTTTTAACAATATCTTATAAATTCATCCGTTCTTTGAATATTCTATTGTTTTGGAACCCAAATATATTATTTCTTTTTCCCAAATTTATTATTTTTATTATTATCATTTTATCAATCTACGTTTATGTATTTAGTCCTTGAACACAAAAACATCTTCACGATTTGGGTATAAAGGGTCGCAAAATTTACTGAGATGAGAGGTATTCTAGTAAAAGGTATTCTCGAGCTATCTCGTTAAGCATAGTTGGATTCAACAATGAAAATTACGTAGATTATTTACTTGCATTTAGATGCAAATCCAGCTCACGCGTTTCCTTCTGAGATTTCACATGAAAGGCACTTAACGGGTCTTCGAGTCAAAATATTTTAACCTCTTTAATTCGTGAGTATTCTGTAAATAATATTTTCTTTGAAAAAATGTTTTAAGAAAGATTCTTTACATATGAAAAATATTTTCAAAATTAGAGATTTTAAACCTGGTTAATGTGTAATGTTTTATATAATTGTTGATCGTATTCATCAATTTTTATACTCATTTAATTTTTTTATACAAAAGATTGCAAGTACAGTTTTACCTCCAGGATTTAAAATAGTATAAATTTCAAAATTTTTGCGAAATTTTTAAGAAAAATCGTCCATTTGAGAAAAAGTTGAAAACATTTTACACAGCGTTTTACATTATATACGCAGTTTATATAAAACAAAATAAATTAAATGTATAGATTTTGTGCAGATTTAATGCATGTACCTCATAACAAAATTTAGATACATTTTCTTAAATTTGACAAATGAAAAATTTCTTTTCAAGATTAAAGAATTTCTACACTGAATTTTCATTTCAAAACTTGTTTTTGTTTTTGCTAATTATATCCGCTAATATAGTGTAATAAAAATATTGCTAAATAACAAAAAACGTAATTTAGCATGCATCCAAAATGGATTTTTGAACTTTATTACCTAGGAAAAACACGTGTATATATTTCAAATATATACCATTTTGATTTAAAATAAACCAAATTGGCAGAAATATGTCTAAAATTTTATTCTTCATATAGGTTGGATTTTACTAAGCCTACAATGTACTCTCTTTCTTTATCATTTCATCTTAAAGTTTATTTTCAAAACTTCTTGCACTCTTTTTTTTATCTCCTCAACGATCTATCAAAACTATAATTGAAGCTGACATGAAGCAAACTCCGAAAGTAGATAAATGTTACAGAAGCGTAGAACCTTACACTAAACAAGCATCAACTCGCTTAACTTTACAATAACTTTGGAGAAAAGAATAGTTAAATATGCAACAATAACTATGTTCGTTTATAGGCTGTGAGCTAGACTGAGCCGCATATATCCAAGCAGAAGACATGTCACATATGAATTAACATAAGAAACAAAATCTTAATATCTTCTGACACAATTACCGTCGAAACTTGTTTTTTGCTTTCATTTGATTTTAAATTTTTGTAGCATATTTTAGAGTTACAAGCCAAAATGCAATTAAATTAACTGGCTTCATCCATAAAGGAATAATAAACTTTCATCCTGAAATTATATCTGCCGAGTGTATGTTAATTACTAATTATTGCATTAATAAAAAGTTTCAAATGGGCAATATAGTCGAATCAAGATAATAGACTTGTAGAATTGTAAGATGTTATTATTTAACAAATAGTTATATTTATTATCCTTGCTATTGGAGTGGCCGTTGACAATTATCGTGTAACCGTTGCTGAGCAACGTCAGAAAATGTTTAAGGGGGCTCATACATCTTAAACCCCTTAACACCCTTCGAATATGTGACTGTTGCAAGAATTGGGATATTTTATTTATTTTAAAATTAATTACTTCCAACCTTTTACAGCTGACTACATAATATAGCTGCTTTGGAAACTAGTAACCAGAAAATTTGTGTTGCCACAAATATTTTTGTAATTTAATCCGCTTTGTAACAAAATTTTTCGTCACGTTTCCACCTTGCGCGCACGATATTTTAAAAATGGCTAATGGAACATACTTGAAATTTGATGGAATTCTTTATATGAGCCCTATTTTTTAACTGAACCAAAATTCTGATGAATATTTTAATATTAAAAAATTTTATGGACGAAAATATTACAGATTTTTTTAATAAAATACATTTTATAAACTCGACTCCAAATAAAATAAAAATTTAACATTAAATTCTTAGAAGATTTGGTTCACAGTAGTTTCTAAATGTTATAAAGCTATATATTAAATATGGAATTAAATTATGCAACAGAATGTTTTAAACTGTGCGCGCAAGGTGGAAACACGACGAAAAATTTTGTCACAAAGCGGATTAAATTATGAAAATATTTGTGGCAACACAAACTTTCTGATCACTATTTCAGAAAGCAGCTATACTATGTAGTCAGCTGTGAAAAGTTCGAAGTAATTTCTTTTAAAATAAATAAGTTATTCCAATTCTTGCAACAGTCACATATTCGAAGATCTTATGGGTTTTAAGGTGTACGAGTCCCCTTAAAATTGTTATTCTAAAAGTTTTACCACTTAGTAGACGATTGAAAATTTATCAAGAAAGAAATAGTAAAAGTAAGCTACAAAATGATGCTGTAACGGATAAAATTGTATTTTAAATTATCTATCTCCGTGAACTGATAATAAAATTTATGTTTTACAAAGAAGTTCATCTGTTATTTCGTAAATACTGCAAAATACGTTACACGATAATCCCGGATAGCTTATTTCACAAGTGCACATCAGCGTAGCCACTGAGAGAGGGGTTTTGAAAATGGACCAATGAGCTGCTATTGCTCTTG